CCGAGACATCTCGGGTGCATGTTTAAGTGGCATACCCAACGGGACATGTGAATTGTGTGCAATCAAACCGTCATAGATGGTTGTGGACCCGGTCGGCGCTTCGTCCAACTCGAACACGGTGTCCATCATTTGTAGCCCACTTGACTGTCCCGAACTGGGAATGTTTGAGACTTTTTGATCCAGCACAGAACGTAACTTATGAATATCCCGGTCCCTAGCATTCACAAGCAATCTAGCCTGATGTAACTCCGATTCGAGCCAACGAATGCGATCGGTACAGGCGAGTAAATCCTGTTTTAGTCGTGTGGTCATACTGACCAGCTCATGCACATCGTAAGTTTTCCCATCGATGACAACAGTCTGTGTCGTTCGATCGGGTGATGGAGAATGATTGGACATATGCGGGATTCGGGGATTCGACTGATTGATCGGAGCCGGCGGTGGGATAAGTGGAGGTTGTGACAAATTTGGCTGCGGCGGTGGCTGCGGTGGTGGTGTCCCGGTCAAAACCTGCCGAATACTACGTGATAGATTCGGTGAACCGGAGTTGGAGGAGAGATTGTTATGTAGTATTGTTTGTGTATTCATCGTGGGCACAGAATGCACACTCAGTGCCGACTGATCTGTAAGAGCGTAACCGGTGGCAATCGGATCACCGAGACGTGGTAAACCATGACCGGGCTCGACAATCGGATTCACCGATTTGACCATCGAATTTGTGCCGTCCATTTCCGGGGTTGGAGTATGTGGGTTTACCGGAATGGATTGACGTACAGAACGGAGTAGGTACGGATTTGAGGTGGAAAACTTGCGATTGGAGCGTCTGTCTGCGAAACGCAAAGATTTCTTAACCAGAGCGGTTTGATGCAAAACAGGGGAGGGTGACTGGGGCGAATGGGTCAACACGGCACAGACATGCTCGCTCAGATTGACATCGGTCCGAGGGATCGCTCCAGGACTTGGAGTGAGTGGCACTTGTGTGGATATGGGATTGAACAGGTGAGTCTGATAATGGGGCATACATATGTATCCCCGGAACGGATTGTAGTTCTCGTACCGACAAGGATTGAGGTCTGCAGTGATTGGCTGCACGTGGGTTGCCAATCCTGTCCTCGGTTCTGAAATCGCGGCGTTGTAGTTGTATCTATTGTTGGTGGTGACGTCGGTTTCACTGATTGTCCCTAAAACGGGTACGTACGTGACTGACGGTACTGGTGGTGGTGCCAATAGTGGTGGCGGTGGAAGTGGTGGTAGAGGTAACAGTGATGGTACGGCAGCCTGAGCGTCGCAACACCGTATTGGTCTGTCACCCGGATGGCACACTTGGTTAAACAGATTCAAGCTGTTCGTTGGGCTATTGCACTCCTCGAGGCCAGGCTTCACTGCCCTACTGGTTCGACCACGGCCCGGCAGCTTTGCGCACGCACCTAACGGATTTTGTTGTTGAACAAATGCACAAGCGGGGATGAGGGGGAATGCAATGGGTTGATTGGACTGCGCACGCGCAGGGGTACGTTCCCGAACCGAGTCACATTCGGCTCACGCGAACTGACACACGCACGCACGCGCGCACGCGTGCACGAAAGCACGTACGCACTTTCAGACAGACGAACACAAGCAAGGGAATACACACAATTCCACGGGGGTCGTAGCGCGCGCGTGAATCAATTGTTACGGATAAATAGATCTGTTATTAGGAAACGGGTACTGTGCTTCAGCTGTCTTCTCTCTTTTTAAGTATAACATAGAGCACAAACGGTAGTGATGCTGGCTTTGAGGAGATCAGAAAGTCAATACAGCTTTCGTGTGAAAAGGCGAATGAAGTGGTAGTGTTCACTGCCTTTGATTGGCTCAGCTGGATCAGTAGATGATTGGTCAATTTGGAAACGAGGAGGTGGAGGAGATTGACCACGATGATCAAAATGAAACCGAAGGCGCTAAACGGTCAGTTTGATTCGTGTAACAATATGCTCGATTGAAGCCGAGCGGAGAATTGTTTTGTAAAACACTAACACAACACGGGAGTGAGGGATCTGATGAATTCCTGAAATCGTTTGTTAGGAGTCAGTTATGATTCCGCGGTGAGTTTGGCAGGAGCCCGAACAGCACGGTCCTTCAACACTTTTTCGAGTAGCCTGCCACAGTTCTGCCACATTCCGAATCAGGTGGTGCGTACACTTGTGTCTGCGTGTTTCTCTACCCGCGTGGAGGTATGGGTGTTTGTGTGCGTGTGTGGTTTGTATGTTTGCCTAAGCGACAGCTAACTATAACATCTTGTGCGTCGGTCTGTGTACATGCGCAAATTATCATTGGTCTTATTCTGTCATGTCTGCCTGCCTAAGCTTGATGGATATACAAACAGGCGCTAGCAGGCCAAACGCGCGCCACGTTAGCTGATATTGGTATGCCAGACAGGTCGCCCGATGAACCAAAATCTAATCAATACCTCTAAATATTACTGGCCTGGACGCACCAGAACCAATGGATGTACTACGGAGACGATCTTTGTAAGCCTCTCCGTGGTGATGATCCTATTCGTTGATTTGCGGATCAGTGGTGTGCTGTCCCCGTACTTGAATGTTTTGAGTTATATCTCAAGCAGCAGGCTTAGGTGAATAAAACTCACCTCGCTTCCTGATAGGCACAGTAGTGACGTTCAGAGTGAGCCAGCCGTCCTACGCATCATCAGCCGGTTCGCTTCTGAACTCATCCATTTACGATGAGAGTGTCCCAGGGACGCGACATGCTAGCAGAGCGACCCAGGAAAAGGACGGAAAACAATTCGTCCCTTAAGACATGCGTCCTCTTGATGGACGACATGAAGTTAATTCCCTTAGGTGTACTACTTTAAATACTGTCATGCAAGGAAGTGTATCAGATCAGACAATTTGAGCACCTCTTATTACGGGTTTAAAATTTCCGATCAAGCTTGATTTTTTTCAAAACATTGATCAAATTTGTTTACTGGGTATTCAAACATCCGCGGGATGATATCCAATGTTTGAAGGAATTTGTTCAATTTCACCTAGGCAATTCCCATCGTGTATAATCATTTTCCAAGATCATTAAACGCCAAGTGACGGAAATGTAGAGTGGACCCATACAAACATTTGAGAACATACAAAATAGCGAACAAGTTAGTGTTTCATAAATTCATCTTCTGGTTAAGATAGTCATATAAATAGGCCGTAAGAATGTCATATTTCCATAACGTTTGACGGGCGCGTAGGTGAGTATTTGATTCGTAGATATATTCAGTTTATTGTGCGTGATTTCCAAAAAAATGAGTATTGGATGGATGGGAACAGGGATGAGGCACATGAGGTTTAGGACCGAGTCAAGGTTGACCACCACCTGTTCGGGTCGCGTGGTCTTAGAGTCATGGAAAGGGTCATCATAGAAACATGTCATTCAAATTAACTGTCGCTATTCGTTCAATTGATGTGCCTTCAAGCTGGTGGCCCAGGGATAACGGTTTCGACGCCTCACCCGCGGTTTGCGTACTGCCAAAGACAAAAATTGAACGAGTCTCAACAAGGATGAAACAGCTTTTTTGTGCACATTGTCGACCATCACACGAAACTTTTTAATCGCATATGGGTGGAGCAGTTGGCGACCAGATCCCAACTCATGCGCAGTGTTACGTAAACAAGTGTGCACGGCAGTTCACCTGATGAATGCTTTCCATTGGAGTAGAGATCCTATTGGGCCTACTAACTTGAAGCCACAACCTGATTGGAAACAGTGAGAATTTATGGGCTGTGACAGAAAAACGACCCTTTCTATGTGTGTTCGATGGTTACGAAACAATATGCAGCCAGATTTCTTAAATAAGGATCTTGCGTCCGATTACTTATTGTTGGAAATGTCGATATACTCTATGGGTCGTAAATATCTCCTACAGCTTCAGTGTTTTCCCTTAATCAGTTTTTAATGTGTCATACAATAAATGAATCAGAGAATTAAAATGTTTGCCTGCCTCTTCCAGCGGATTAAGAAAGCGGCTTTATGGTGGAAGAAACCGAATTTGTTGGTTAGCATGACACTGTGCATCCAAAGCCCTCAGGTGGACGGGCGCATTGTCAAAGACAACGACAATCGGAACACCTGGTTGCTCGGAATCGTTTAATGTGGTGCAGCTTGATAGAGACCCATTGAAAACGTGTCAAGTGATGATGATGATATTTTCATATTTGAAGATCTCGGCGACAGATGAGCACGCTATTATTTCCAAGTTGGGTCCTTTCCTGAACGAGAGGACTGGCGTGGAATGTCTATGGCTGCAAAAGCACTATCTGTTGTAGTTGGTCTCGTCTATATGCAGCCTCAGTGACAAGCCACTAGATCGCTTTAACCAATCGGCATATTTCGCTCGTTTTACCTTGACAGTTTTTGAGTTTCGTTCCACAGGCCGGACGGTCAGTTTTGTAACTGACTAGTGCTGTGCATTCAGCAATAGATCAACCAAAGTCTCACGGATTGATGTGCCTGAAAAATCTTTCTCCATTCTTTCCTTTAACTAACTCAATGTAGTTGCGGTGTTCTCGTGTGTCTTTTCTAACTTGTGGTTGAACTTCGCCTTGTGATCCCCAGTTTTAAGTGTTATTTGGCTGCAATAGCACCACATGTTGGATCTTAATATCAAGTCGTTTGGCAACTTCTTTCACATAATCACCTCTCCGTGTAAAAGCATTATTGTCGCCTATAAAAGTGTTCTTTCCGACAAATCAAATGTTGCATGATGGTCTTACAAAGGAAATCGAAAATGTGCTACTCTTGTAAGTGAAAATGTCAAATGTAACACAAACAATGTATTGGTTTTGCACGAGCCTTGAAATAAATCAAAAGGTGATACCACGAAAAAGTGAATGCTGACTGTATAACCTTCAAAGGAGATATGGCACGGAAGTATTTGCTTTTTTAATGTATCACATTTCGATTCATGTCAATGCAGATGCAGAACAATATTCCGCTCGTGTTATATTTTGGAGATTTTCACTTATAGAAGTAGTGCATTTTCGATCAAATACCGAATTTATACGAGATATGTTAAATGGTTTGATGATACGGGCTCATCGTTAAACCTTCTTCACTCAGTATGTGGTGTCGCATGTGATCGCCAAAATATATTTCTTAATCAAACTTTGGAACATTAACATTTATAGAAAATAATATGTTTCAACATTCGTTACCTTCAGATTATTTTGATACTTATCGATTTGACTCACCTAATGCGGCATGACTAAAGTTTGTGCGTCGAGGTAAACGGCCTACGGGTTGTGGTCCAAGCGTTGCAGGTTTTGTCCAATTAATTGTGGGTCAAGACTAAGGGACTGTGGTTCGAGGCTGAAGCATTGCTGGTTTTGGCCAAAGCTTGATGGGAAAAGGTGAAGTTTAGTATACCTGTTTGAATTCCAGAAGGCGGTGCTGGTCGAGGATAGTTGTTTATTGAGGATTAGAGGTGGACAACCAACAATTTGGCGTACATGATACAGAAATATCATCATAAACAGACCAACGCAGTTCCTGGCCACACAATGACTAATGAATGTTACAATCGATAGTTATTCTCTGAGATACAGCAAGCTTCCGTCCATGGTCTTCTTAATTTTTGATCGTCGAAAGGAATCACGAACAACTTTCGATACTACTCACAAATGTGAGTATCATCTCACAATTGCTTAAATGAACTCTTTCTATTGCGACCCAGGAAACCCCTTCAATAATTATTAAAATCGTAAAATACTCACAATGATGCATAAGAACAAAGTCGATAGGCAAAGGAATTTATTTTTCGTATATCCCTTCATGAATTTACACATACAGTTCGATTAGTCAATAGATTATTACAAGGCCTATGCTGATGTTGAATGAATGGCTAAGTGCAAAATATTCGGTTAACAACAAGCTGTGGGGTCACGACAATTGGATAGGTTAAAGCTGGATGAACTGGATACGACATGAAAGGTGTTAGTCAAGAATGAAAAAAACAGGTGTGAGAATGTGTGAAAAAATACAGTAAATTTTCTGTAAGTCAATTAACTAAAACAGTCGGGTGAATAACGGGTTACTTACTCATTATTGAGTAATTATATTCGAAGGATGGAGCCTAAGACAAAAGAATAATAGAGTAACCTATGACAGTTTGGTAAACAACGATGTTGACTGTTGTTTTTGTAGCTCGGGTGGTATAATATGATGTTCAGTTGTTCGCCGAGCTTGGCAATTGTACTGCAATACAATTGCCAAGCTCGGCGAACAACTGAACATCAGAGTAA